CTCTCTCACCCCTTCCCTATTCTCCCTCTCCCTCCACCCTTTCCCCTCCCCATCTCCTTTCCCACCCCTTCCCATCTCCCCCCTCATCTTTCTCAACCCTTCCCCATCTCCGCTTCTCCTCACCTTCCCATCTCCACCCCCACTCTTCCCATTTCCCCCTCACCTCTCTCACCCCACTTCCACATCTCCAACCCCTTCCTTACCCCATCTTCCATTTCCCAGCCCTTACCCCATCTCCCCCTCTCCCCCATCTCCTTTTCCACCCCTTCCCACTTCCCTCTCCTACCCCCTACCCCCTACCCCACCTCCCTCTCCCTACCCCTTCCCACCCAACTCCCTCCCCTCTCCCCCACCCCCTACGCCCATCTTCTTCCCCCTATCTCCCACCTGCCTCTCCCCCACCCACCATCCCCCTCCTCTCGGCCGGAGAGCAAGCTTGCGATCGATAGAGGTCGGATCTGCCTGAGTCGTGGGTTTCTTTCGTTAAGTCATCCTGGAGGCGAGGCGAAGGGAGGCGAAAGGGAGGCGAAGGGGAGGGACGCTTGGCCTCGGATCTTGAGTCATTGGAGGGTGGGTAAACGGGGTGTGGGATGGGGGGGTGGGGGTGGGGGGTGGGTGGGGGATTTGGATGCGAGTTGTATGTTTGTGGGGGCAGGGGTTAGAGATGTGGGGGTAAACGCTTTTGTTGTTTTTTTTCTGTCTCTGTCTGTTTGTCTTCTGTCTCCCTCCTTCCATCTCTCCGCTCCATCCCTATCTCCCCAACCTCCTTCCTTCTCCCTCTCCCTCCCTTCCCTCTTTATCATCCCTCTCTCCCTCCCTTCCTGCCCTCCCTCCCTCCCTCCTCCCTCCTCACCTCCTCCCTGCCTCCTCCCTCCCTCCCTCCCCAACCTCCCTCCTTCCCCTCCCTACCCTCCTCCTCCTCCCTCCTCCTCCCTCTCCTCCCTGCTCCCCTCCCTCCCTTACCCCTCCCTTCCCTCTCTCCCCCGCTCCTCCTCCCTCCTCCCCTCTCTTATCTGCCCCTCCACATTACCAATAAGTCCCGTGCCTATCTGTCCACAACGCCTTTTGACTCTGCAACGATAAGTTATAGCCAGCCAATCAGAAGCACGCTTGACCTTCACCTCAGCTCATGTCAACCGGACATACCTGAGCGCTGAACATCGAGGTGACGTCACTTCGCTTATCCGGCGGGCGTGTGCTTCCCTTGCACCTCCGTTTCAATTCTCGTGTTCTATTCTTTCTGCTTTTGGGGGTGGATTATCGGGGTTTCCCTCTTGTGTGGGCTTGTGTTTTTGGACTTTTTTTTTCTCTTTCTTGGTTTTTTAATGTTTTGGGTCGTTTTTCGTTTTTGGTTTGTTTTCTGTTTTTTTTTTTGTTTATTGTTGTTAATTCAAATTCAAAATCAAATGCAGCGATATAATGTTACACTTAGGCAATAAAGTTGTTATTATTTTTGTTATTGTTGTAAATTATTGTTACTATTATATTATTACTATTATTATTATTATTATTATTATGAATGTAATAATGATGATATTGTTATTATTTATAGTTATTGTTGTTATTTTGTTATTATTATTATTATTATTATTATTATTTTATTATTATTATTGTCGTTGCTGCTGTTCTTGTTATTATTATTATTATATTTTGCTGCGTTCGGTTTAGTTATATTTTTTGTTGTTTTCATTACTTTGTCGTCGTCTTTCTTCTTTCTTTTATTTTGCTTGGATTTTAATTATTTTTTTTAACCGTTATCATTTTCCATTTCTTTCTTTTTCTCCCCATTATTCAGTATTTTACTCTCTCCTCTTTGATAGAAACAGATCTCACTTTTTCTTTACTTTACCCCTCCTTTTTTCCCTTTTGTTATCAACTTTCTCATTCTTTTCCTTGTTGGTACCGAGAACTATTTTTCCTTTTTCTTCTTCTTCTCCTCTTCGTTATTTCAAAATTATTCCAATTTCATTTCTTTTTATGGTTATTTTATTTATTCTTTTTATGGTTATTTTATTTTATTTGTTTTTTATGGTTATTTTATTTAGTTTTTTTTTTATGGTTATTTTATTTTATTTATTTTATGGTTATTTATTCGTAATAAAAGGTAGTATTTGAGCATCGAAGTCTTCCTTCCGCCATGTCATAGGGCCTTCTTGTACAGTTATCGGGGGGGGGGGGGGGGCACGTGGATGCCTTTTAATTAAGTAACTTTTAGCTTTCTCTTTCCATGCCGTCGCTGCGTCTCCTTCTCCCGTATGCACGCGGCGGTCCCCTTCCCCCCCCCCCCCGTCTTGGTTTACCTTTTGGTTCGCTTCTTGGTTCGGGCTCTTGGTTCTCTTTTCTTTTGGTTCACCTCTTTCGGTCTTGGTTCACTTCTTTGTACGCCTCTTTGGTTCACCCTTTTGGCTCACCTCTGGGTCATCTATTGGTTCCCCTCTTCCCCTCTTTCGCCCCTTCGGTTCCCTCTCTCGGTTCACCTTCGCCCTTTGCCCACTTTCCTCCCCTTTTTTATCACCGCTTCGGTCTCCTCCCCACACGCCAGGATCCTTCTTTATCTCGTCGGGTTACGTACACTTCCTCACGTACACGCACGTACAGACGCGAGTTGTAGGGCTGCTCGAGTGTGCACGAACGGCTCCTAACTGTACTATGCTAACACACGCAGGCGAGCTTGTGGCCGTATCTCCATTCTCCTTTTTTTTTTTTATATTTTCGGGTTGGTGGGGTATATTTGGAATGGGGGGGGGGGGTTTCTCTCTATTTTTTTTTTTCTCTTTCTTTTTTTCTTTTTTTTTTTCCTTTTTCTTTTTTTTCTCTGTCTGTCTGTCTCTTTTCTTTTCTCTGTCTCTGTCTCTCTCTCTCTCTCTCG